AGGAATGCCAAAAACGCAGAGAGAGATATTTTGGTTCTCCCTCTGTTCTATTCTGATTTCTTTCGTCCCTTTGCCTTGTATTCTTCTGCGCTAGTTTTAGGCTAAACTATGACATCTTTCTACTGCCTATGGTCCCTTTAGCTCACCACATATGTTCAGTATAAACTTTTTTAAAAAGAATATGTTTCTAAGAAAAGTGATCAAAAATAACCCAAAATTTGGTATGAATATACACAGGTCACTGACACTGTGCTCAGCTTCCAAAACTCTTCTTTGGAAATGAGTTTTTAAGGACCACAGAGGAATGGTAATAAGCCACTTACCATTTTCTTCCACTTCATCCGACGGTTTTGGTACCACGTCTTCACCTGGAGCTGCGTCAGCCCCAACGACTGGGCTAAATCAAGCCTGGGAGAGAAGAGAGACATTGAAATGAGTTTACAGAGGACAAGAGCAGCTCAGACGCCGGGTGCAGGCAGTCCAACACTGCAGGAGCATACACCAGCGGGACCGCCAGGGAAGACGGCTATTTGCCTCTCTAACCTGTTGTTTTGAGAAATTATCAGACAAAAGTGGTAAAGCACTGTGAATTTAGGATGCAAAGATAGATGCTCTTATGGAAAAAAGCACATTTAGGTGTTTGCAGGCTCTCTATTCTCTGTGACCACTGAACAAACGAGCAAGCCTAGGAGCTTCCGAAGTTTGCGTGCCCTCTTTCAAACACAAGTCTCCAGCTGCTGACGCTCCACGTCTGTATACGAAGCAGGGAACTACCAGTACACCACATCCCTGAAAACCGTGTCTGTGGTGTCGGAAGAAAACCCCTAAGAACCAAGACACCCAGCATCAGTCTGCCTTTGAAAGTGCTGCTCTTTGTATCATATTTCTTCTTCATTACCAACATAATGGGGATAATAATACTTTCTCATTTCTCACGGAGTAGTAGTACATCTAAATCTATTAATTTCTTATGCATTCTGCTATTATAGGCAATTTGGGCTTATAAATGAATGTATTATTTGCGTGTTTAGCTTAAGGGTATATGTGGCAGACAGCCCGTAATCCTGATTCATCCTCCACAAATCTCCAACCTGTGCAAGTTCCTCTGAAACCATTCATTATTTCTATATCAAAACCCAGGATATGAGGCAAATGCAGCTCAGAGTAGCTCTTTATCCTTCCCCACAGGTGACAGCCCGGTGCATCTGGCAGTGTTGTAATGGAGTTGCACAATGGACGGCGTTGGAAATCCTCAACAACGCCGGGCAAGCGCCCCACGGAGTCACGCAAGTCCTGCAGGTGGGACAGCCCAAACTCAGCGTCACATTCCAAAGTGTTCTGGATTGTGTGAACTTTCTGGAAAATATTTCCCCACCTTCGGATGGGGAAACACATTTGTCAAGGCCAAGTTTTTCATAATAAAACTTCTGTTTCAGCTGGGCTCCTAGGGCAGTCAGACTCACTCTTACATTTACAAACACCTACGTACTCCACACCAGCTCTCGCTGCTCAAACACACACTCGTGGATTCATGCTCTTCCCCTGCTCTGGATTCACTCTAGACCTAGAGGCTCGGTCTGCCTGCTGCCTACACCACTACGTCATGTCTGCGAGACATCCCATTGACTTTAAGATACCATCACTGTTCTGGGAGAAGCAAAACTTAGCAGGGGCATTACCCCGCTGTACTGCACGCCCTGGTGCCTCTGTTCCCACCAAGCTGCACCATCTTCTGTCCAGGCCAGAAGCTGCAGGAGTGAATGCAGCTCACAACCCACTGCTTTGCCATCACGTTTCCAGCCAAGAGTTTAAAGAGAGAAGCACTGTTTGACTAACTCTTGCCTTTAGTGCACAGGCCTTATCACACTTTGATTACCTGCCACCAGTTACCATCTCTTGCCTCACACGTTAGCGTAACCTGTATTGCCTAGAAACGTGAGGAAACAAACAGAGGGGAAGCGGTACACGGACAGGAATTGCTCATCAGCCTCAAACATATACAAAGCCAAGGAAGAGTCATACCACAAAATTAATTAACAGCCTCAAGTGCTTCCCCAGCGGTGTCAACCATCTGGTTATGTGAAGCTGCGAGACAACAGTACAGGACCATTAGGAACTCTGAAACTGTATGAGACAGCCTGGCCGTGCCCATGAAATTTGGTCTAGCTGCAATCCTTGGCTTTGGCGACAGGCAGTATGAGCAGAGAATGCCGATCTTCAAAAGCAATTTAAATACTGGGACACTGCCATCTGTGCAGTTCAAGGTCTGGTGTACCCTTCAAACCCTCCCTAGGTTCATAGGAATTGGACAAGCCTTTTTCCTGTAATTTAAATTTGCAGAGTAGGATTCAAAGCTTCTCCATTTACTTTGTCCGTTTGGTACCAAGTAGACCCTACGAACTTGCCTTTTCCTTCACAAAGGCGAGGTACTGGCCTGTGCCTTCACAAGGGCAACGCAGCCTTCGACTCTGTACAACCCTTTGTTTTCAAGCTGATGGATAGGCCACCACATTCCCACTGAATCGCTACCCAAGTTTGCTAGATGAAAGCTACAGCCAACCTCTCAGCTGTCACAGAGCCACAGCCGCCCACCACCAGTTCCCAGGAAGGGACAGGCTCCACCTTTTTTCAAGTGTACAGAAAGAATGGGAAAGACAGAGAACCTTCTGTACCTTGCCTACCTCTGAGCCTGGATGCCTGCCAGAAAACACATATATCACCACGTGGCATTTCCATGGATATAATCTACTCGTGTCACCTCTGATCCCAGGAAAAGTTAGCCCTGAAATTGGATGCAGTCATCTGCCCATGTCCTTGGCGGATGGCAGAGGCATCCCTGTGGAGCCCGAAGGCAGCACCCTACACCCAGGGAGCGCTTGGTAAAGGAACAGCTGAGCAGGGCTAGAGCAGCCCTTTTGCTCACTCCTTTTCCTAGTGTTGGAGACTGACCTACCTGTCAGGGGTAGACAGATACTTCTGCTTCTGGAATTTCTTCTCCAAGCCCATCAGCTGGAGTTCCGTGAAGATGGTCCTGCTCCGGCGTGGCTTTTTTAACCGAGGCGTGGGCTGCTCTGCCTCCGACTCGCTGCTGGCATGGGTCTCGCTGGCAAGTGTCTCCGAGCCTGCGGTCCCTGAGGAGGGCTGGGCTGGCAGCACACGGGAGCTGGTGGCAGCGGGGACGAGGTGAGGGACCACAGAGGGCTGCCTGGTGATGACGGAGATGAGAGGATATGCCCTCAGAGAAGGGGACCCTGGCAGGGAAGGAAGCAGAGGTGGATAAAGGCCAGTTCAGTGGCAATATGGTTAAGTACACAGGAGCACTGGAGAGAGTAAGGAGACAGAAATACCTTCCCTGGCCTTGCCATTCACTTGTTAATGACCACAAGCAAGTCGATTCCCCTCTGGACCCGTTCCTTGTCCCAAATTGCATGTGTTCAGCTTTCCTTGGGCTGGAAGTATTGATGTGTGCTTCCCTAGCACAGGGAAAGTAGCGCCTGCATTTCTACTGTCTTTTTTTTTTTTCAGGAGCTATTATAGTACACACCATTGAAGTCATCTGCCTAATTACCACAAGAGATTAAACTCAGCAAACAATGAAATCCATCCCCATTGACGCAACTCCACAGACACTAGGACAGGGCTCACTGGAGTGACCTAATCTCACTTTACAGGCAACAGACAGTGGAGTTCAAGTCTCAAATCATTTCAGCCTCCAGTAGGTAACTGAAAAAGAGTCAGGTGAATCACACCTGCATCCTCTGCTGTCTATACTGACCCCATTGTCTATACAGGCAGATGAGGATGAGTAGATCAGAAGCAGAGTTCTTCACCAACTCTTAACCCTACATCTTAGACCAACCAGTCAATATCAGCCCTAAAAAAAACAAACCACAGTTTGCTCCAATCCTTTCAGGTCAGGGCCAGTCTGGGATGACAAATCTAAACATTCCCAAACACTGGAGGAAGTTCTGATTCACATCAGACCTTCTGAATTTACAGCTATAGACAGATTTCTGCTCAGCCTTAGCCCCAGGAAATCAAATGTTCCTTTAAAATTGAGGGAGGGAAATAGAGCCACGTACGGGAAACGTACACACGTTGGAAGACAGCAAGCTTCGCAACCAACCTGCACGGTCTTGGGCAAATCCCTTTCTTGCTCCGTACCTCAGTTTACCTCACTTGCAAAACAGAAACAATTTTCCTTTCCTATTTCACTGGTGGTAAAACATGGATTAAAGTTTTATGTACATTAAGTATGCAGAGATCTTTAGATAAATGGTGCTGTGGAGAGGAACGTATTACACCAGCAGGCCTGATTGTGAAACTCTTAATATGAATCACCACTAATGAAAATAATGATCTGTAGACCTCAATGAGTCTATTTCAGTGAGTAACTCGGCACAGTGGAAGAAAGGAGTTGCCAGCCTGGCCTGCTGATGACCTATATTCCTTCCCTCCACTCCCGAGTGAAGGGCTGTGGGGGCATAAAGCAGGTCCCAGGTAAGCTGCAGCACACAGGGCACATCAGGCAGAAGCAAGGCTGAATTTCTGCCAGGTTACTTGGTGATGCTGTAGATCAGCACGGCCTTCAGTTGGGAAAAAAAAACAATCCACAGAAAGAAAAGGTAAGTAGGCTTTACACAAGCTAAAGATGGGCTTGGCAATGCTGATCTCATCTCTCAAGTACTCCCCTGATAGCTTAAGTGGAACAATTTAGACTTAATGGAAATTATTCCATTTTCAGTGTTGCAGAGATGTGGAGGAGAAAGCAAGGCTTAAGTCCCAGTCTGCTTAAAGCCCAGCCTGTAGTCCCAGTCTTGCTTAAAGTCCAGTCTGTTGGGATTTACAGTGTATTGGCAGCAGTTTTCCAAACC